AATTCATAAATTATTTCTTATTGAACTATCTTATATCTATTGTACTGGATGGTGTCTGCCTTTTTCACCACTTTTGCCTACATTTTATCATATTATTCTACACATATCAAATATTTATGTACAAATATCTGCTCTTATCATGTCCAATAAAATCCAAACATAGAAACATTGCCTAAAATGGTACCTATCTTGACAAATTATTTGCACCTGCCTATATTACGAACTTTGGCGCACTGGGTTGGTAACATTATTGAAAATAACACGACATGTTGTCTGTAAGATATGGTACAGAGAGAAAATACTATTTATGCAGCTACTGTCATGACAGAAAGGTCATATTCCATTTAAACTAGATCACATAATCCTTTATAAAATACGTTGATTAACAATATTTAAACGTCAATGTATACGTAACAGCCAATTTACAGTATTTTTTTGTTTTTGGAAATGTCCCATTGCTATGTCATTTGCATTATTTGTTGCCAATAAAGTCAAGGCCGTATGAACTAGGAGGCCCCTAACAGTTCAAGAATAAAATCCAACTTCACTTCAAGTATTACATTACACTACACCTAACATTCCGTAGAGAGATTATATTGACAACTTTATGTTATTGATAAGGCTGAGACAACTAACTGACATCCCCCATGTCAAGAAATTCCAGCTTCAACAGTAACCTCAAAATAAATTTCTCAAAAGTAAGCTAGAGGGTGCATTCGTTGGCACAGAAGTAAAATATGAACTGACGCGACGTGACGAAGGAAAAATCAAACTTACACTGTAACGGATATACCTCCCTTTGAATATGTCTTCCCAAAAAAAGTTTTCTTTTCAAATAAAATCATATTACACTGATGAAATCACGGAAGTGTTTAACTACAAAAGATCCACCAATACGATTTTAATACTATTTAAAGGTTCTTCCAAAGGAAGAGATACCAGATAACATACTAATAATAACTCCGATGACGTACGGTAAGGGGAATATTTTATTCATTGAATTATCAACCGAATTTGGCGACTAACGCAATTAATATCAATATTGTTTTTACATTTATTATTCTTTAAACAATGCTAAATGCTCAAAATATGTAGCCTATATTTTATCCAATTTATCGCAGTTAGGTGAATTAACGTAATCCTTGAAAGTAACCGTCGATTTCGACGGGTTTCACCTAGTTACTATTAAATAGTTTTATAATAGTTAATATATCGATGAGTCATCAGCTCTATCCCTAGTCCGTCGGTCATTACCCCTCGAGGCACCGGCCGATGGACCAGGGAACAGCTATGATTTACACTATCACCCTCTACTACGACATTTTTTTTAGGTAAACATTCCAACGCTTATGATGACATCGAACACTCATGCATATTTGTATATAGGCCTAGCCAGTCCAAAACCTGAATACACTGTAGGTATGAATCAGACCGCTTATATCATAAACAACTAAATATTAAGGCTAGTTTCCTAACCAGAGAACACACAAGAATGGCACTTTACAAGACTTTTTATACCAAGCCTTCATAAACTAAGAGTATTTCATAAGTTACGTTGCCTGTGTAGATTTAGACTTAAAATCAGTATAAAATCAGTAATGGATTGAAAATCTAAGTGTTATTTACGTTTTGTTTGCACTATAATGTAGTGTACCTGTTTCTCGAAATCGACTAATTTTTAAGATATGTGTATTACCAGGAATTATTTCAAAACTAATAAATAAATAACGTCTTTGTTGGGCAGCGTACATCAGATTATAGATCTGTTTTACATTAAAACTTTTGTCATTCAAGGAGTTTAAAATACTCAACTAAAAGCTTATGTTATTAATAAAAAAATCACACTGTTCATAACAGTTTGATATAATCAACATTTTTTTGAAAATGTTTAATACTGTGAGTGAAAGAGTTTTTTTTAGCAACTACCACAGTACTACGTAAAATCAAAACAATATTTAGGTTGATTGGAGGTCAATCACTTTCTCGCAACTACGCGATAGAGGGCTGACCCAACACCCCAATAACTGGAATGGATTGTTGTGAAAGGAAACTCTAAGAATTTGCAAATGAAGTCCATTCGGAGTAACGTGTGGGGATTAACGGGACATTCTGTACGCTGTTTACAAAATATTTCCTTTGCCTTTCCAAGTACCGTACTGAATCTATATGGTTTTGCTTATATTAAACAATAAGTCAAATACGTTGTAGCAGATGTCTTTAGCTGCATTTTACAACAGGTATTTCGTTCACCTTTCTCAGAAATAGCTGTTCATGGCGTGTTCCTGAATCAACAATAAGGTATATTGTGTTATTGTCCTAATAAACACGAGAGACATTCGCCTATCTTTATGGTCGTATTATATAAATAACATTGAACTGATTAATTTAACAAATGATCATTGTTAATTTATTGTAACAATTAGGCTATTTATGTACTGTACATTTATGTTTTATGTTTTACATTTATGTTTTATATGTTTGTTTTGTGCTGTATTTATGTTTTAGTATATATATATACTGTTTAAATATTTATTTATTCAATCAATGTCCTGACTAATCAATACACAACCTAAACGATATTAAATAGAGATTTGATCATATTGTCATAGCATCTCTTTATAAGAAATCTGTCCGGAGTATGTGCAATTTTGGTTTATTAATCTTATTGGTAAATTGGTGTAAGATTGTTTTAGGTTTATTCGTAATCCGGACGCATACGAAGTTGAAGCGTTTGCTTTGGTATTAACAGTCAAGTAAAGTAAATAAATAATTAAAATAAATAAATAATTAAATAATCTTATAAATTTAAGAAAATGGGTTATTCGTTTGGCTCTGCTACCCGACCATTTTTATTATTGAGGTCTCAAATTAAAGGTATGCACGCACAGATTTGCCATCAAGCATCGGCGTATATTTTTCTATTACTGTATCTCACTCGGCTTATACGTAAACGAAATTGCTCCCCATGTTTTTCTTATGGGAGTTAAATTTGGTTTTCATGATTTTCTTCGTTAGGCTAAACAAATCATGTTAACAATTTAATTTTCGAGTTGTTCTAATTCTTATAACGTAGTTTTCTAAAGTTATCTGTTGTGGCTGCCTAGAAATAATCGGACGTTTGTTTCTCCTTTGAAAATGTATTGATAATTATAGTAGTGGTATTTAATTATGTTACAAGACTACAAATTGCCAATTATTGAGTCAACTTGGTCCCCACGCACAGGCTTCGCATATGTGGGCCCTGTCGATTTTCAGAAATTACGTTCATTCTGTATCTATTATTCTTTTGTTATGAATTGCTTTTGATTTTATTTATTTGATTTAATTTTACTATGGTATTTTTCCGGACAAACTCCATTAAACATATAGCACGGGTCGAGGTTAATTTAACAACTTAAAACTAATTCATTCAACAATAGTTTACCTGAAAACTATTTTACTAATATTTGTTTAAAGTTTTACAGAATACACTTACACATGATGCTATTGTATGTTTTTATTTATACATGATATAGGTACTTACAACAAAACTTGTGAATTTTTGTTTTTATTTATACATTTATTGTATGGCAACAACGTAAACTTAAAGATAGGAGCGAGTGTATGCAATTCCAAGATAGAGTTTAGTATTCACCGATCCTGCGATAGTTTAAGAGTATATTTCGTACCTAGGGCCGAAAATGATTTTTTTCAGCTCGGGATCATTTTTAAGTTCGAGACGAAGATGAAATCGGTCCGTGGCACGATTGCTGTTTTTCACCAAACTATACAAAACTGAGAAAATATATCAATAATGTAGGCAAGCATGTTTCTTTACAACCTTTTTATCAGCTCGTGAACATCACAGAGAAAATATCCGCATATCGGTGGAAATGTATTTTCCTGTCGATCTACAGAATGCCTTTATAAATTAAAATAGGCTAAAAAGACATAAAAAAAGAATTACAAATGTTTAAAACTAACATGGGTTTAACGGGTTGCTATGCTGGTGACGAAATAACAACTAATTATGAAAATAAAATCAAAACAAATGGAACATATTCCAATCACATTTATTATTTACAGTGTATGTTAAATGGAGAAGTATGTGTAGTACATTGCATAGTTTTTGTCGAGTTTTCAACCGCTGGACCTCAACTTCATTGTACACTTCATTGTTCATTGATCACTGGGAAATCCATTGTAAACTATAGGATATGCACACTAATCAATGCAAATACTTTAAGGTTATGTGAAAAAATATTTAAAGGAATCAGCAAAAATAGTAATACATAATTGCTGGGCAGCGGTCTATTGCAATTCATTAGGGATATAATGCTTGTATATTTAATGATATATATAAATGTTTTAATTAAATAAGCGATTTTCGGTACTAGGGCTGGAAAATTTTAATCACAACTATAGCTGCCATTTCGACCCTGGACAGCAATGCGTAGCTTTCAGCCTCCAATTAACGTCTGTAAAACTACTAAAACATCGTATTGCGGTGAAAAATATTTGCCAATCATACTCAATCGACTCGGAACACTGCAGTTCCTGATTTAATTAAGGGTATTATTAAAAAGTACTCGTGCAGTAATCAATTAAACAGGGTAACGAATTGAAGGATAGATACAACTAGACTATAAGGACGCAAAATACGCGTAGGTACAACTAGACGTAGGGACTACTAGACGGAGGGACCACTAGTCGTAGAGACTACTAGTCGTAGGGACTACTAGTCGTAGGGACAACTGGTCGCATCCGTACAAGCTAGGTGATACTACTTGTCGGTGGGATACACGTCTAGTTGTACCTACGTCTACTTGTACCTACGTCTAGTTGTACCTCCTAAAAATCTGCAGGTACAACTAGTCGGGTGAGCCACCGTCTACTTGTACCTACGTCTAGTTGTACCTACGACTAGTTGTCCCTAGGCCTCGAGGTACAAGTAGACGGAGGGACAACGAGACGGAGGGACAACGAGACGCGGTCCCATCGTATACACAAAATCAAATCTGTTGCCGTTGTTCAAGGCGTAGTTTGCTTTGCTTAGCAGCCTTGCTATTCCACGACCACAACCAGCGAACCAGCCTAGCCTAGCCTTCACCCAGTTCAGTTTCGATGTTCGATCACGATCAGACGAGGACGAGGTGTCTAGAGGACCTTGATGGATTAGAAAGTAGAAAGTTAAGTTTGTTTAGTCCTTGTCTGATCTGCTGAGGTACCTGTGTCGTGTTCTGTGCCGACCTCTCCTCTATCCGCCTCCGGTCCGGTGCTCAAAACAATAAATGAATTCTAGATAAGACACTCTACTCTGAACTCTGACACTGTTGTGAAGAAAGTAAACCGGTTAAAAGTACAGTTATAGATAGGCCTACCTTAGAGTATTGTTGACATGTCTGGTGTTGGTCGTGTATTTATTTATGGTGGTAAAGGTGCACTAGGTGCGGCCTGCGTTTCATATTTCAAAAGTCAGAATTGGGTAAGTAGCCTATAGCCTATTGTTTTTTTAAATCATAAAGCAGATAAAAATGAAATTAAAATATAGGCCTACTTGTAGCTTAGGTTTACGCCACCGATTTGTAAAATCAATGTGTATTTTTACCACTAGGCTATGCCTAAAAGACAGTGAAGCAAACTTTCATTGAATGCAGGGCAAAAGCTAGGCCTAAGTCAAGGGTCCAGCTATATAGCAAGACTGACTGAGACTGCCTAGGTTATTAGCCATACCAATCCTGCCATACCATTAGCAATCCTGGTTTCTTAACACTAGACACTAGGCTACGACCCTTTCGGAAATTAGGTTATCGTTGGGTGCTGGTGTGTAAGTTAGTCGTAAGTTAAGTTACACTTTACTAAATAACTGTATTTACAATTTTTACGAGATTTCTTCATTTTCATTGCGCCAACAGTTAGAAAATAAAACTATAAATGCCTCAAATTCAATTTTATAATTTTTTAAATATAAAATTAAACTATCATAACCTAACCGAACTAACCAAACTTGCTGATAATGAAATAATATAACAAATGTTTAGTAATGAAAAAAACATTCTGTTTATTAAATAAAACTAGAAATTGATAAAATAGAAATAGACTAAACACACTGAAAAATCATGAATGGATCTAAAAACGAACTTTTTGTGTACTAAGCCCACCAGGGACGTAACTAGGCTATTCAGCACCTGGTATAAACGCCTATTTTGCCCCCCCCCCCCCACCAATTGGACTGAAACTAAGTTAATTCCTTACAACTCCTCATAAAAAGTGTGGTGTGTCCATCGGCACGATAAATTAATAGGCCTGGGTACTATCTAGAACTTAAAATACTCAACCTCAAGTTCAAAGTATACCTATAGGTCTAACTTAAATACCTATATATTTGGTAACTTAAATAATTTAATACATATTTTAAAGACAAATAGTTTATTTAAAAATTACATAATTTATACAAAAACACAAGATAGGTACGGTAGTTAATTATGTGACCAATAGACCTAGGTAAAGTATTTGATAAAATTATAAAAAAATGATCAAAAAATACTGATGATTTAAACATTTAATTGTTCGTCGAATTTAATAACTTTTCAGACTTTTCTTGCAGCAAATGTACTGACAATCTCACTGAAGCATAGTTTTGAGGCTACCTGGTGCTCAATGGAAATAATCCCTAGGTTTGCCAGCCTCTGTTGCCCTGTAAAATTCCGTAAATATTTTTTTATTATTTTAAGTTTGCTAAAACTTTTTCATTCTTTGCCACTGAAACCGAACTGGTCCTTTGTGACTTGTCGAAGGCTTTCGACGTCGTGTCTCATGACATTTTGTTGGAAAAACTTAAACGTTACGGAGTTGGAGGGACAGTGCTCAAGACTTTTCACTTGTATTTTGAAAATAGGTACCAGATGGCGTCAGTTGATGGAGCGTTCTCTGCTCCAGCTGCGATGGACCATGGAGTGCCGCAAGGCTCTATATTAGGGCCCACCGTGTTTATAATCCTAATGAATGACCTTGGAAGAGAAAGGGATACCCTACTCTATGCGGATGACACAACCTTGTACGGCAAGGGACAGTGCCCCAACGAAGCAATAACCAAATCTGACCAGCTGTTTGAAGTTGCAAGAAATTGGTTCTCACTTAATGGCCTCAGGCTAAACGAAGATAAAACGCAAAAGCTCCTGTGCACACTCAGTAATCATCTCCATCTCAAGATATTCCAGTCAAACTCCTCGGTTTTATCCTGAACCCAAAACTTCAATGGGATATTGACACAGTGTGTCTTAGGCTGAGTAGAGTCAATTTCCTCTTAAGAGAACTTAAGCACCAGATCACTAAACAATATCTTCTGATGGTCTATTTCTCCTTATTTCACAGTCACATCAACTATGGCATCATACTCTGGGGCCTTGCACCCGCCTGTACTAGGATTCTCAAACTGCAAAAACAAGCCCTAAGAATAAGTACAAGCAGCGAAAGACGGGAACATTGCAGACCACTTTTCAAAATGCTGAATGTTTTTACTGTTTTCAATCAGTTCACCAACAATTGCCTTCAACACGTCAAAGGAAATTTGAACTTTCATGAAACAAGGGGTGACATGCACGACCATGTCAGAAGTACCCATAAATTAAATACAGATCGCTATAGACTAACTATGACGAGAGACCGTTTCCCTGCCATAGCTGTCAGGATGTACAATGCTCTGCCTGGTAAAATAACAGAACTTGACACAAAAGTGTTCACAAGTAAAATCAAACAATTTTTATTGGAGAACCCTTTCTACTCAACTATGGAGTTCTTCAAGTATGCTGGCGCAAGAACTAGCTTTGCACCGCCACCAGTGCAAAACAGTTTTAAATGTATATATAGCCTATATTTAAATTAGTTCTTATTTTTTTCTTTGACGCTATCTATCCAGCCTAGGCTGGTCATCGATGAAGAGGAGGTAATTCAGGTAAGGTAATTCAGGAACCACTGAAATCGTCAGGAAGATTCGTTTAAAGGCAGTCGTTATGTTTGGATATACATCCTCCATTTTGTTCACACACAAAAATTTCAGAAGATCAATTGAATTGGCCATGGCCGGATCTAGGAACCGCGAAACCCCACAATGCGGGGGGGCCCAAGCCCTTAGGGGGCCCAAAGAGCTCATAAAATTTAAAATTATTTTAATGCATATAAACATAATTGAATAGGACGGTAAGTTTAGTTTTGACAGGCAAATATTGTCAAAATCAAAGCTAAAGTTAAAATTATTAAGTAAATTTAGACCTACTATTTTGATTGTCAACAACTCGGGACCTCGCCGTAGACAGTTTAATCTGTGGTTTAATACTGTCACTTTCAGTCAGTCGAGTCTGTATGCTGAGCTCAGTCCAGTCAGCTTGTCAGCTGCAGTGCACGCTTCACAGATCCACTACAGTCCGATCGTCGTGGACTTAGTGTCAACTTAGTCAAATATCAGTTGAGCTGAGCAATAAGTCTGTAGTACAGAAGGAACTTATACTAACCTCTGTAGCGTTATCTAACCATCTCAGGGCCGGCAAGAGCCGTCACAGACCCCTGGGCTGAGCAATCCCGGGCCCCCTGTTTTCCCAAATTAGTGTCTAGCTGCCTTCGTGCCGTTTTGTTAAACGTTTAACAATATATCTAAAATGCATGATAGTTTGATTAATTCTCTTGCTCATAGTTACAACTTATTTCCACTCAAAAATTACTATGTGAACTGGAAAACCATGCTAAGATATAAGCGGATTACATGTACAGAAAAGATTTTGAAATGTTTGACCGGGCCGGCCCCCTTCAGAGCCCAGGGCCCCGGGGTTCTGGCCCTCCTGCCCCACCCTCTGGGACCATGATTTGTATGTAGGCTTATCTTGAAAAAATAGTTTAAAGAATTAAAAGTTCAACTCAAACAGAACTCAAGTTTAAATTGAGTCGTTTGTTTATTACTTTACCTTATTATTAATGCTTGCAATTCTTTATGTAAAAACCTTTTTTACTTTTTAGCGAATTTCCCTATAGGGAAGTAGCTATTACCATCTAGGTCTCATGGTAAGACCTAGGCTCTGGACCGATTTACTTTTTCATTTTGATGTCCCCAGAGGCCAAAAACACCATTCGTTCAAATTGTTATGTATGTATATATGTCCGTCCGGACGATAACTTGGAGTATTTTTTGTCCGATTTTGATGAAATTTGGTTTTAAGGTGTAAGGCGGGATAAACATGAATGAGTTTGCGAACCAGCATGATCGGACCATGGGAACGGAGTTTAACGGGGTTTTATGGGGTAAAAATTAGTTTTTCTAATGTTTGCCACTCAAAACAAAAAATTTCCCAATTTCTCTATAGACCTTCTTAAAGAGCTTAGAAAAACAAATAATTAATTATATGAAAGTGTTTTTGTACGGTTATTGGTTACCTGTACGGAAAAAACTCAAAATTTTTAAATTTAAAATTCTCATGTTATTCTTATGGAGAATATTGAAAAATGTTGTAGTTTGCTAGTTTATGGATATATTTTGATGAAACTTGGCAAATTTATTGATTTTATAGTACGCTATAATTATTTTACTTAAAAACACACTTTTTACTTTCTCCCCCTATACCATAGTATAGCCTATGGAGAAAGTATTGTTTTTGTCAAAATTTTCGAGAGTTTTGAGTGGATATATCCGTTTTGGGTCCTCCTAGACCCAAAAAAGTGGTTTTCAGAGTGATATCTGTGTGTGTGTGTCTGGATGTGTACAGAGCTAGGGACTACACCTGTGGTCCGATTTTGATGAAATTTAGTTTATAGGTTCTAATCCATTGTATCTCCAGGCGTTTTTTTTCATTTTGATTTTTAATGGGGATTTTCCCATAAAAACCCATAAAAAAACGGCAAAATCGGATTTTCTCAAAAATGGCCCGAACGATTTTGATAAAAATTTAGTACGTTATAGTCCTTTATATTCTGAACAAAATGGTACAAATCCAATTTCTGTAAAAATTACGGTTCAACAGTTATTGTAAATTAAGTTATTTTCCCATAAAAACCCCATAAAATAACGAAAAATTTGGATTTTCTCAAAAATGGCCCCGGGAACGATTTTGATAAAATTTAGTAGGCCTATGTTATAGTCCTTTCTACAAATCCCATTTCCGTATATTTACTCTCACCGCTTAACACATGATAAAGGTTGTTGACAAACTTATGGGAGAAAGTATGTGTCAGAATGCTGATACTGTTTATTTAGCTTCCTTGTAGCAGCAAACCTAGGTACTTGTTAAACCTAACATGTTATAAATAGATTAATTGAAAATCAATTCAGGCAAATTAAAATTCGCTTAGACGGCAGGTTGTCTGCTGCGGGGGTATTTTGTACAATATTTGTTTTGTAATTTGTAAAGCTTGTTGAGAGGCTAAGAAATCTTATTGACATAAGAATAAGAAAGCTTTATTTGAAGTTTGCTGTTATTTTTTAAGTTCATAAATTTACAA